CCAATATACACCATTGCCTCTTACACTAGAGGCACTGAGATCTCACTATTTTTCTCTTCAAGACACTCCTCCCCTTATAGCCTGCTCATTGATCTGTAAGTGTCAATGGCTAAAGTTCTATAGTGGTCCTTAAGGGAATAGATGGGAAAATCTCAATGCATGGTTCCTGTTTGCCTGGGGAGAAGTACAGATATGTTTGGAATTATCAGAAAAACTAAGTCACTGACTTTGCAAGGAGGTAATCATTTAGACCTATGGCACAACAACACCATGGGAAGGACAAGAAATTGGCACTGGCATACTTTTGGCTGGCATACTTTATCTGACCTGTTCTACAAGAATTCTTCTCAATTCCCTTCTAGACCTACACTATTATTTCTAGTATAATATATGTGACATATGTGTGTGACATAATATATGACATCTTATATATATACATATATGAGAGCTAATTATATATATATATATGTGTGTGTGTGTGTATGTGTGTATGAAAGATAAAGATAGACCAACATTAAGGTTCTGTCCTTTTGGTTTCATTTCTCATGGTCTGTCTTGAGCAATTTTTCTTCTTACCACATTCCAGAAAGAGGTGACTTCATGTCACTTCTTTGCTCAAGCAATCAACTCTTTCCCTCTGCAGGAACCTAAAGCAAACTACTCTAGTAGTCTTTCCAGGAACTGGTTCTAATCTCTGTAACATTTAGGCACTCTCATTTGAAAGCTTTTTCTTTCCTTCTGCACCTATGTCTACTTATTCTGTTTATTTAGACCATCTACCCAATGAGCAGAGATAATAATATTAAAATTATTATATTTTCCATGGAAACATTAACATTTATTGGTACTTAAAAAGTAAGAAATACAACATTGTCATTGTTTTCCAGTTTTTCACAGCAGAACATCATATGCCAAATTAGTTACTATAGTGTAGCTCAGATGATTTGGTCTATCAGAAATCCACTAGATTTTGCTATCCCCTTTTATGAAGGCCATCCTGTTAAATAGAGCATGCTGCTATTCACCATTAACCTATTTGTTTTGTTTTTCTCTCCTATTTCAAACAATAGCTTCATGGCCAAAATCATATCCAAAAAAAATTCTTTCCCTTAGTAACATACCCTGACCTCCACCAGGTGCCTATAATTTAGGAATGCTTTATTAGGGTTTTGTGGACTCTGATATTTAAGAGTACCAGCTTCTTTAACAATCTGATCTCACCTGTATATAGATGCTGCTGCCTACTCATTAAAATATCCTCTTAGCCAGCCAGGTATGCTTCTTTAATACTCCTTCAAGATACCATGAGCTTTCTCCATCTCTAAGTCTAAGCCACCCTTGGAGCTTAGGTAAACTATGACATTCATAACAAATCTTTCTTGTCCAAGAAGCTCTTCCTGAGGACTCATTCTCTAAGAACTTTAGAAGGTTCTAAAATGTTAGCAACATGATATAGAATACCTCCCAAAGTTAAATTGGAAAGAGAACTAACACTTTGTATCAAATTAGATGATCAGCTTTAAGGAAGCTAGTAGCAAAATTAGCACGTCATAACCTCAGCATCACACATGTATTTGTGCTACACTGAACTATCTGTGACTTTTCCTTTGATGTCGGCAAGCAACTTAAAGACATAGATGTTTCTTATATAGCTTAAGAACCACCTTCAATATTAATATTAATATTGCTGCTGGCAAATTTGATGATATAAACAGGTTGAATTGAAGAATGAATAATGAAACAACTAGTCAGTAATAGGGAATAGGTCCATATGGCAACACTCTCAACAAACTAGGTAAGATTTCCATCTCATGGAGACAACTATAAGAGTTGAGCAGAGAAAAGTATGTGGAAATATGGGTCAGAATGTCAGTTTCCAAATGGTTTCAGAGATCTGTGACATACCAACCCCTTACAGAAAAATGAGCTATTATGGAAATGTTCCAACCAAAGCTAAAGGATAAGAGAAAGGCAAAAGGATCCTCAACCTGCCTGTGATATTCTCATTCACCAGCATCTTTTCAGCAAGAACATGTAGCCTATTCTTCATGGAAGGAAGGAAGTATTCCACCTCTGCCAGGAGCAGGAAAGAAAGTGTATCACTGAGCATTCTGATCCCATTTAGTGGGAATGCATTTAGGGTTGTTAGAGGATGTATGAACACATCACACATCACATATATTTTGATTGCTGTATTTTCTCTATCCCATCTATGCAACATTTTATAGACATTAAGACATTTTATAAACAATTACATTATGCCACAGCAAGAGTACAGTATATCAACTAGAAAACCTGAGATCAAATAACTGACCTTAAACCAAGTGCCAGTGGTTCACATCTATAATCCTAGCTACTCAGGAGGCTGAGCTCTCAGGATCATGGTTCAAAACTAACCCAGGGAGGAAAATCTGTGGGACTCCTATCTCCAATTAACCACCAGAAAACTAGAAATTGAGTTGTGGCTCAAAGTGGTAGAATGTTAGCCTTAAGTGAAAGAACTTAGGGATGTCACCCAAACCTTGAGTTCAAGCCCCACAACAGACCAAAAAAAAAAAAAAAGGAAAACTGAATTCTCAGTCAAGGAGCTAAGTACATTTAATTTTTATTGTGTTATCAATGTTTTAACATTTTGCTTCTAGATCTGTTAACATTAAAGTACTAGATAGTGTTACCAATGTATTTTGTAAACTTTGTAAATCTAGCACTCTTGCTTGACAAATGTTAACTTAATACCTATAATGTGTAAGAGTTGTTGAGGAATTAGAATCAAATGAATAAAACTCTGTGTTCAAGAATTTAGGAAAAGGATTAAAAATGAACCAAAGGCTTAGTCAAGGACTAAATAATTTAAGAGCTGAGAAAAATAGCCCTATACTTTTTTTTTTTATGGTCGTGGGGCTTGAACTCTGGGCTTGGGCACTATCCCTGTGCCCTTCAGCTCTAAGAGAGCACTCTACTGCTTGAGCCACACCACTTCTGGTTTTCTAGTGGTTAATTGGAGATAAGTCTCACAGACTTTTCTGCCCAGGCTGGCTCTGAACCGTGATCCTCAGATCTCAGCCTCCTCAGTAGCTAGGATTACAGGCATGAGCCACCAGCACCCGGCTATCCCTATACTTTAACTGGGGATTTCATGCTAATAAAACCATATGAGTAGGCAGATATTACAAAGATGGTAGTTCTAGGCCAACCTGGGAAAAATTGGTTCTCAAGACTTCATCTCAACAGAAAAAGCTAGGTTCATGATGGTGTTTTTCATCCTAGCTATGACAAGAAATAAAAATAGGAGGACTGCAGCCCAACCTAGCTGAGGCAAAAAGTAAGACCCAGAAAGGGCCAAAGGCATGTCTCCAGCAGTAGAACACCTTGCCTAACAAGTTTAAAGTTCTGAGTTCAAACCTCAGTACCACAAAAAGGAAAAAATCATATACATATACAAATATATGGAAGTATATATATGTATGTATATCTCATATGCTCCTAGAGCAATAACAAATTCAAAATTTCAAAAAAAATTAAAATGGACTCTCTCTTAAATAACGAAGTTCAAACCTCTTCCAATACTAGATTGCCTCTTGTCAAAAGAATAAGCAGTCCATGATTTCCACATCTGTCACTTCAACTAAACATAGATCCAAAGCATTTAGGGTAAAAAAAGTTCTAGAAAGTTTGAAAAACTAACACTTGAATCTGTCACTAGACCAAATCCATGCAAATAAGGTAAGGAGTAGTCATTGTCTCATGTATTATGAGCAATCTATAGATGATTTAAAGTGGACAGGAGTACTACACAAGTTCTATGAAAATTTTGTGCTATGTTGTATAAAGGAACAGAGTATTCACAGGGAGTCCTAGAACCAATCTCTGATAGATACTGAGGAACTATTCCACTATCCTATTGTTTTGCACAGCTGCTGATTTTAGAAGTTTTTCCTAACGAGTTTTATTTAACTTCATCCAAACATTTCAGCAAAGGTAATAATATTGGTTAATAATACAATTTTGCATGTCTCTCATTCTTATAGCTTCCAGAATATTCCACATGTACTATTTCAATAGGTCTCATGTGGTCACCAAAAAACCCAGAGGAGAAAGCAGAGCTGTTTACTGTCTTTCTGGCTGTGTGTTATTCATGTTGCACAGAGGCATCTGGGGCCCAGAGGAGTCTGATGAGTGACAGTAACAACTGACATTTGTCAGACTCATCAGACATACAGAAAATTGCTGGCTAAGCCCCCCAAATGAAAATTCTTTACAAGTTATTACCCTTGAAAACTGCTGTTCCCACTGGTGTTTGTTCTCTAACAGAACATCTCACAGCATTCAGTGTCTTGGGATTCCTAGCTCCCCATTCCTCATTCCTCATTGGTACCTCATTCCTTCTTCAAATACAGGACAACCTCTTTTCTCTCACTCTGTTCTCATTAATAAGATCAAATTTCAGTCACCAGTTCTCCTATCTTAAAGAGCCAAAGCTCCTAAATTATGTCCTTCAAGAATATATATGCCTTTAAACATCACATAGCTCTGTAACAGAAACTTTTATTCTGATTAATATAAGGTATTGGCTATGAGGTGGAGGAATTCTGAGGGTATGAAATGGACTCTACTGCAGCTGACACCCAAGTGGCCAACTTCCCACACTGGTTTGCAAGAACATCTAAGCCTACCTTCAGAGACATAGTTGGGAAAAGAGGCTGGAAGTAGTGCATCTGCCATGTACACCTGAAAGAAACTTCAAGCATGTTGGATAACAGATATAACAGAGAAAGCCCACTGGGTCTGTGAGATATATATCTGAAGAAAAACAAGAATCTGGGAAGTAGCCAGAAGTTTAGAATGCTGTCCCCAACCCTCAATCCTGATCTCACTGCACAGGCTCAAGTCCTGTTATAAGGGCTCTGAAAGCCCACCCAAATCCAGAATGGAGGATGCTACAGTCCTACAATCTGGATTTCTTCCACTTGAGCAGACTGAATGTACAAAGCTGTCCTTACCTCGTAATGGGCCACACGCTGGGATTCAGATATCAGTTGAGCACTGCACACCTTGCAGTAACTGTCTGTAAACAAATCCTGATCAATGTCGGAGGACTTCATCAGGCTAAAGAAAAATCAAAAGAAAAGAAAAGTGAGTCCACTACTCTGACAGCAATGCAAGCCATTCATTGTGGGAAAATCTAGGAGCCCATCAGCAGGTCTGATGGTAGTAGCAGTTGGATAGGCCTCTTCAGACCTTGATGTCAGCCTAATGATTAACTATAACAAGTATACAGTTTACGGTTTCCTTATAAATACCCAGAAGGATTTATGGAACCCTAAAAAATAAGAATGCAGCTTCAGTTTTTCTGTTTAAATAAACCAGACTTGTATCTAATGTTTTGTTAAGGTTTTACATAAGAGAATATTTACATATGTGATATATTAGCAAAATATTGTAAAAAACATAATATATGTAGAATTTTGATACATGCACAAACTAGAATGATGTGGCTCTCAAATACAAATTTATAAGAGGTTTATAAACAAGTATGTTACAATACTATATTGAATTTGTTCTAAAATATATATGATGTGCATATGAAAACATGCCAGGAATTTTAACAAAATTTTAATAGTAGTTATCTGTCACAAATTATACATAATGCTTTTATAACTTTTTTATTTTTAAAAACTCCCAGGGAACAAGTTATCATACATACAATATAAAATTGAATTTGAATTCATTAACTAAACAAAGAAAAGTTAAGGATGAAATCAAATGAAAATACAACTCTCTTTACAGCCTCAACTTTGTTATTTCTGCTACCTCTACATTTAGAATCACTGAAATCCATCAAAGCTACCATTACCACCCCACCCCACAATGAAACTCACAGAGCAGTTGAAGATATCTTACAGTTTCAAGCTCTGCATCAAAATGCAGCTAAGGATATCAAATTTGTGAAGCAACCTGTCAGAAATATACCATATAACAGCTAAAAGGTCATGCTATCACCTAGAAACATACACCAGCATAACATGATGCTCACCACTTCATTTACCTCCCACCTGAGTAAGGAGAATCAGGAGAACCTAGACAACAGCAATCTGGTATGCACATTGGCAACAATTTCCTCTTATTACCAAGCTACATTGCTGGTTGCTAGCATGGCCAGAGAAGTTACCTAACTTGCATGATTCTACTTTGCACACACAGACCCACTGCAGATCTAACACTAACATGTAATGACACAGAAAACCTGCTGTGTCTCAGTTTCCCCCCATAAAGGTGGATATAATATTTACCTATGCCTCCTTAGAAAATTGTAAATCAAAAAAAGAAACATCTAAGGAGGTGCTATATAAAATACAAAACTCTCTACATTCAAAAGGAATCAATATTATATTTTTAATGGCATCCCAGTATTGATAAAATACTTGCCAAGTCTTAAGCAATGTAATAAAATGAATAATCCTGGCCGTTTTAAGAGGCTGTAGAAACCATGTAAATAGCTAACTCATGTAAGTAATGTATCTGCTTAAAATAAAAGGTTTCCTGTCTCAAGAACTTGAAACTTGCTTTCTTTCTTTGGCCTCAGCTATAATAGCCCTTTCAAAGCATTGGTATTTTAGCAGCTCAAAAGTATTCAATATAAAAGACAATAGTAAGCACCTCTGTTTTAAAGCAACCACTAATTACATCAGACACTAAGTACCATATTCACAGTTGATGTGGACTTGTTATGTTCAAAGGATTGTTCCCCCCCTCAAAAATGGAATGGACCTCACTCAGCATGGATCCAGTATTTGCCATGCCTCGAGTTCCACTCACCTCACAAGACAATTGGCCCACAGAAGAGCTACAGTGATTAGGTTTTTCTTGGATTAGATCAAAATCTGCCCACCCTAATTTTCATTCATTAATTCTATCCTTGGTATAGTTTTAGAGCCCATTTTCATTAGGTACCCACCCTCCAGTCGTTGAAGATAATTCTCTAAGATGTACTCTTAAGTTCTATTCTCCTCATCACCTTGATTTGTGTCTATTTGTGTGTGATCCATCTTTGATGACAGTACCAAAAAGAATAAGCACTCCAGAGACAGTCTACTTTTTTAAACTTCTTTATAATCTCAACGCCATTCCAATGACTGCTATGATTTGTAATGGTCTCTATTCACATACTAGAATGAAAATGGAAAAGAGGAGTTTTGATGATGGGAAAATGTAATACAACGTTTTGAAATTTCAAATTGGAAATGAAAACTTAGTAAGGTGTATTTTTAAAGCCAAGTTTCTATAAGTGGCTATGTTTAAATATTATCATGTTCCCTGCTATTTCTAATAAAGAAGCACACAAAGATAGATTCATAGGTGACCTGGTTAATAGAAATCTCCAAACTCCCTGCATACTCCTTCCTCATTATACAACCAACTGCAGAAATCAAACACTGTGAAAGGATATTCAAGGTACGCATTGGACCAAGTGGGGCCCGTAGGAGTCTGTGTCTTGGTAAAGCAGCTGTGCAGCAGAAATAGCTTTAAAGACAGAATATAAAATGTGTATACTGAAAAAAAAAATTGAAGGAAGAAAAAATACCATAGCTTTTCCCAGTGTTTTATATAAGAATATTGGCTTGAACAAGTCTATATGGTATAAAACAGGCAACGAAGGCTCTTCTGAATCTGTGTGACATGAACTAAATACCTGAACACATTAAATTCCAGTGGGAGGCAATTAGTTGACAACTGTCAGACTGGTTTGTACATAAGACCTTTCTCAAAGAAAAGAGAACTCTCTCTGTGTAGGTCATTTTAGACAACCAGAAGGCCCTATTTATGATTCAAAGACTGGAATTCCCAAGAAAGAACTGCCATTTGCTCCCCTCTTCTGGCTTCTTTGGAGTAGAATTCTCAGTTTCATTGGCCTTCAGTACAGGAAAACTGGTTAAGAGAGAAAACAGCAAGTCTTTCCATTTCCTAACAAATGTGTCATTCTTTCTGATAGAGGCATAGAATATATATATATATATATATATATATATATATATAATCACATTTTTAAAAAGAAAGAAAACAACAAAACAGAAGAGTGTTCATGGCTTTGTCCAAGGCAAACCTATGCTTGCACCATCATCTGGATCAATGATAGCACCACAATATATCACTGCTCAAGTCTATGGGGTATCACCAGAGCCAGTTTTTCATGACCTAGGAATGTGCTTACTGTTCAATGTTGTGAGGCCTTGGGACATTCTGAGAAAGGAAACAAAGAAAATACGCAAGGGGTCTAATTTCCTGAATTTGAAGACTTCCCCTGTTGTACTATGCTCCAACAACACATCCCAAAGTCACCACTGAAAACTTAACAAAACTAAGTTGATCTTCAGTATCCACATAACATGATGCCATCAATAATTTAGTGAAGAGGTTCACATTGGAAGTAACATCTATGTTATAGTATCACTAGATTCTCTTTTGCTGTCCTGGGAGTCTATATTACAATATATTTATGCAGCTGGGTAGCAGTGATGGTATAAGAATCATATATGCCTATAGGTCTAATAAATAGAGGAAATCTAGAGGAGAAAGGATTTTATTTGTTCTATAATGGTAATTGAACCTTTATTTTATATGAACTATAAGTATTGCAGAAGGTACAACCTCTGGGTCCAAATCTTCAGAGGCTACTAGTTGAGAAGAGATACAAAGGAAGCCCCTAATAAACAGACTGCAGTTATGATCTGACTGCTGAAAAGTGCTTAAGGGGTATGAGAACACAGGAGAGATTAACAAGGATCTTCTCAAAGAGTTTCTATAGGAGTTTAAAATTTTAAAGATGGATAGGATTAATGTGGGATGGGCATTATATGGATAAGATTCGTTCTTCCAACTTAGAAGCTAATTCTCTTCTCTGGCACAGAGAAAAATGTTACTACTGGTAGGCATAAAAAGACATTCAGGAGACACAGGTTGGTCTAATTTGGGCTAACACAAAGTAAAGGAAAATACAATTTTAAGAAATGGAAGTCATTCCTTCAATGGAAGGAGTGACTCAGGAGGGGGAACAGGCAGGTCCTAAGTGTTTCCCACAGTGCAAGAGATGGCCTTATTCAGGATTCTCAGGTCCAAGTCTAACACCTTCCTCTTGGCTTCTAAGGAGCTGATTGCAGGCTTGAAACTGAGAAACCTTCAACTCTGTGGGAAAGAGTAATATTCCTTTTTTCCATTCCTCATTTCTGACAGTGTGAAAATAACTTTGACTCAAAGATCTCTAGACCCATGCAGGGCTCTTCAGAGTGAAAAGTCTTGATTGTTCATTAATCAGGTTGTTCAGCAAGTTACATAGCCTTTCAGAGCTCTGTTTCTGTCACTGTGAAATGTGGGGGAAGGTATTCTCAAAACATTATTATGAGGATTAGAAATGATATAGTAGATAAGGCATGAAACAGACTGGCATATGGCAAATACTCAAAACGCTAATAATGCCACCATTATTAGAGATATTACTGATTCTGTTTTATCATTACACTTATTTTCAGAGGGATTCTGTAAGTATTTAAGAAGATAAATAAATGGAATGACATTAGAAGCTAAGAAGGGAGATAACATGGTCAGTGTACTGAAATCATGCTTTTATGGCTATTATACAGTTCATTTGTATTGACAATATCATCCTCAGAAATGGCTGCTGTCCATGAAATACAGCTGCCAACTCTTCCTGCCAGCTGATACCGGAGACTCTATAAAATGCTTGGAATCTATTTTTGTTGTCAGAAGGTGCTGATACTGCCCAAGGGAGTTTAAAGATAACTTTGCCCCACCTGCTTTCCTTCCCACCAATGCTCAACTCCCTGTGACCTACTCCCCAGGAGCACAAAGGGAAACAACACCATTTGAGCAGAGGCTGAGGATAGCGATGATCTGAGCCCACATCCCTGACAGCAACATTCTAATACACCATAAAAACCACAGTCCCCCAGGGACATCTGCTCCACCCCAGACCCTTAAGAGGAGAAGGCCTGAGATGGAATCCTCCAATGGTGGACATTCCTCTCTCACAGGCTAGAGTACTTTTTGCCATAAAGCTTATGAGGTCTAGCAGCCAACCTTCCATGCACTCT